ATGGTGGCTGGATAGGCAGATGACTGGGTTTTAGGATTTGGTTCCTCTGACCTCCCCTCCCCCTACTCGCCAAACGCCCATCTGTCCAGCTGACCAATGGGCTGCGAACTCTGTGGATCAGACTCTCTCGCCAACAGATCGCTAATCCTCATCTGAGCATGCTCACTGATTTAACTGGGGCAGGGACATGACAAAGCATTACGACTACTATGACATGAAGTCCAACCTGTACGATGCTGTAATGTTTATCTAGTTGCATCAGCGGACACAGACTGCAGTCAAAAATCTTCATTCATCTTTAGTGTGAAATTACACAGTCAAAAAAATCTAAGATGAGATTTGCATTTTTATGTTCCTGGAAAAGCTGCTGAAAATTATGACTTTATATCAACTTTCATGTGGATGGAAAATTGAAAAATAAAATCCCAGGCTGCTTTAAAAAGCTTCTGCACAGTTCACTGATGAAGGCAACTTTTAACATGTGCTGCTGTAATATTTAAAACTTCAAATGCATCTTTGAAAGCAGTTCAGAGAATAAAGAACAATGATTGATAAAACTGATTACGGAGCTTCACATCTTTAAAACCTGTGTTCTTGTAATGGAGTATGGCTGCTTTTCTGCTGCTATTAAAACATCTATGGCATTTCTTATTAGAGTGTGGAAACCTGACCCGGCCGTGTTGGGGTCAAAGACAAACTTTGAAATAATATTCAGGTTCGAATCATGTTGGTTGGGCTATCTACTTGAATTTTTACACTGCCCGTGCCTGTAATTGGGGAGAAAATAGGGCTGGAGGTGCGTGTTTAACACCAAATGCAGGATGCCTGTTGAGTTCAGGACGGACTTGGTAAGTTTGCTCTTGGGCTCATTAGGGTTCAGACAGAAAATTGCAACTGAGCGGAACTCAGTTTGGTATTGCTTTGGCTCAGTTTGAATTGTTAGCTGGAGGCTACTTAAATGTCACTGGGAGCTGGTTTGCACTGCACTCACGGAAAATGCTCCTCACACACAAAAAGTTCTGTATGTGCACTGGGTACACATGCGAGCCAAACCAGAAGCCCCATATAGAACACTTGTACTGTTACATCCAGTCAAACAGGAAAACTGATACTGCAGGTGTTCTAGATAAATCATTTAATGAAGATAATGTGATCCGGTTATTAATGCCACAGGACCTTCAGTTATGGAAAATGTGTCCCTGTGTGTACTTGTACTTAGACTTGAGGACCATTAAAAGCATAGACCTTATAGAGTGAGGACATTTTGGGAAAGTGCGGACATTTTGACCGGTCCACACTTTTTCAATAGACTGTTTGAGGGTTAAGACTTGATTTAGGGTTAGTGTTAGAATTAGGTTAAGGTTAGGGTTTTGGTTAGCTTTATGCCAACGAGTGACCTCACCAAGGAGTATAAGAATATGTGTGTGTGTGTGTGTGACAGTGTGTGTGTGACAGTTTGTGCATGTACAAACAGTAGTGGCGGCCACTCTGCGAGAATAGAACCTAAGACCTAAGATCCCCGGGAGGAAAAGAAGGGGATGAGGATGATTTATGGGTTTCACTGAACTGCACCATATGCCGACCACAAATTTACACATACGCACGTTCACAAATAACAAGGGGTTGCTCACATCAGGGTCAGGTTCAAGCAAAATACACTTCTCTAAATTTGAGATAAAAGAGGCACAAATACAGCTACATGAGTATGATCAATGGCATTTCTTTCTTATCTTTATAAAAGAGCGTGGTCTTTCATTTTGAGTGCATTCTTTTTGAATTTGTAATATGTTACTCAAAACCCTGCCCCTCCTCAAATAGCCAAAGCTGTTGTCCACATTTGCCATGCGCCTGCTAAGAGACACATAAATGTAAATGTAAAGTTCTGTGAGGTTTGTGTTCTTTACAACAGACTTTTAAAAGCTTACGAAGGAGAGTAACTGTGTTTATACAGCATTAAAGCTTCTTTCAGCCCCTCCTAAATCACAGTTAATCAGTGAATTCTTTGAGTTCCCCTACTGATGTCAGCCAAATGACAAAAGTGCTGTGCTGTTCAGCAAACGCCCTTAATGGATTTCCTTCAGGAAAAAAAAAAAGTTTGACGACATCACAGCGTTGCCGAAATCCTCCCACGTCTTAAGTGCTTTCGTGGTGGAACATGAGAGGTTTGCTGCCTACCAAGATGGCAGGTTTAAATTTAGCATTCTGGGGTTTGAGGACCACTTTACTGTACATTCAAGCAGCTGACAGAATCTGTTCACATCCATCCCAGGCTGCATTAAAGTCAGTCAGTCAGAACAAATAAAGTCTGAATGTTCATATAGTTTGATGCCCACACTCCCAGGACGGGACAGCCCACATCTGACTTTACCATCAGAGACATGTACGGCCAGGGAAACAGCCCATGTACGTCAGAAGACCTCCAGTAAGTTGCAGAGTGAATTATGTATGATGTATACACAGACAAAAAACGCACTGCTTGTCAGTGTCAATGAGCACATTTGAATTTTCAAGTGTATAGAAAGTGTTCAGTTCAGTGCTACTGTATCATCTGTTCAGCTGTGGTAGAAAAAGTATTCCAATACTTATTTGGGTGAAATACCAGACTGTAAAAATACTTCAGCAGAGGAAAGGTCCTGTATTCACAATAATACAGAGCTGAATGGCCTTTTTTCATATAGTTTTTATACTTGATGATAAATGATTATATATATTTCTCACACACACAAAAGGTAATATCTTGCATTGCACATAAATACACAAAAAAAGTCTAAATAGTTAGTCAAGTCTAGTTAAGTCTCAGTCAAGTTAACTCAAGTCTAGTTGGATTATTCCAACCTATTCAAGCAAACTAGTTTAAATGAATTAAGGGAAATATGAGGACATATATTTATTGGCTTCCTGATGACAGTATTTACACCACTCACATGTCTGTCCATTAAATATAAGGCTCCAGCCAGAGTCTGATTAGCTTAGCTTAGTAAGTTAAGTTGGCCCAACTGTTGAATTGTAACAAAACTGCTTAGCACACTTGGTTTGTTCTAATCTTTGTTCAACAGCTGTTGAGTGTTCAGCAAAGCTTATATTTAATGGAGATGAGAGTGATACAAGTTGTCTCTCTAACTCGTCACCAGAAAACAAACATTTTATTGAACTAGACAAGACTACTAATAGACAAAAATGATTTTGTATTTCTAGGGTGTGTAAAATCTTCATCGACAAAGTAACTACAGCTGTCAAATAGGGCTGGGCGATACAAGAAAAATAGTATTACAAAATTGTTCTCCATATTAATCAATCATTTTCCATTTATATATTAAACATAATTTATGAGGAAGGAGTAAAACTAAAACTTACTTTTCAAGAAAACTGCAGGGCACCTTTTAATTTCAAGCTAGGAGTTATATTTGTGTTAGTATTGAATCATAATAAAAGTCACAGTTATTAAATAAAACTGGACTCAAAACACTAAAATATAAATTTTTATCTAATGGGAGAAGTGACTGAAAAGGCAGACAGGTCAACTGCTGCAGGGATTTTAATTAATGCGTATCCACCATAAGAGTCCTGTTATTGATCTGGCTGGTTGATCCATGGCTCTTTTTGTACTCTGTAATGTTGTTAACTTTTCAAATAGTGGAAAAGGTTTGTTTCGGCACATGAAGATGCATTTGTTGCTCTGCTGTTTATACAGCTTCTGAAATCTAAACCACTTCCAAATCGTTGATATTATGTAAAATCAGGATTGACCCGAAAGCAGAACAGATACATTTATAGAGAATTACTCATCACTTTTTCATCGATGTGGTAATTCTTTGTGATCTAGGTCCTTTTATCGCCCAGCCCTACTGTGAAATAATTCTACTGCAGTAGGGTAAAAAGACCGGTATCGAGCAAATCTAATTTGATGCATTCTACCTCTACCTCATGCTAAGCTACTTTTCCACACCTTCCTGAGGGGCTCCAAAGGGCTCATGGGAGACAGCTTGAAGCCGTTCACCTTCTGAGATGCTGGTGGTGCTCTCTGGTTCACCTTCAGCTCCATCCTGTGTTTCACCTTCAGCTTCACCCTCTGCCTCATCTTCAGGAACAGTAAATATCTTACATGAAGTTTATATTTAGAAACACAGGTAGACATCTGTATGAAAAAACAGACACTAAACCTGTAACCTGAAACACAACCAACTAAAGAATTATCAGTCCATGAGCAAAATCATTCTTGGATAAACTGGCCCACTATCTTTTACAGACAACTGCACAATTGTATTTAATTGTGAGAGGAGACCTTTTAAAAGCAGAACTCTGCAGTGCAGTCCAATTGCTGAGTCTGTCCATGCATCAGCCTTTTACTGGTGGGCCATGTGGAGAAAAGCCCAGTGCTGTCAGGGTTGATGTTGCCACTTTGCCGATCGTTTCTGTCTAACAGCTCGGAGGCTGAGAGCCTCTCCACAGAGAGAATCCCTAATCAAATTCCCTTTTATTCCTGCCTCCCTGAGCTCCTCACCCGGAATCACACTGCATTACACCACACTAACATATGCCTGCATCCTTCTCTCTCTCGTTCCTCTCTCTTTCTGTGTCTTTGCCGCTCCCTCCGCCACCCAACCGTCTCTCATCCGCCTTTTCTTTAATCCATCAACACCACTGTCTTTAGTCTAAATAAGAAAAAAGCACAACTGTGGAAGAATTCCTCCTGCGCAGGTTAGTGTGATGTGCTGTGATGAAAGGACATGGCGACAGAGAGGGCTATTAATAATGAAGAACACGGGGCCCAAGCTGTAGCGCTGCGAGAAGAGACTGAGGAAAAGAAAAATGACTGACTAGAGAGCCAGCTGAACATCACAGCAGAGAGGGGGAGTTTAGGAGACGCACAGGAGGTGTGGTAGGGGTTAAAACGTAAAAAGGTTCAAAAACAAATGCAACAAAGGGGAGAGAGACAAGACAGAGAGAGAGAGAGAGAGTGGAATACCACCTCTTTTGCTTCACTTTGCATTATTACTTACTAGAACCGGAGGGGGAGCCAGCAATCGTACCTGAAAGAGAATAAGAAAAGGAAGAGGAGATGAGAACTTGTTTATTTATGCATTCAATTTGCCTAAAGACTTGACTCTGTCTCATTCATCAGACTCAGGTGGCAGAGAGAGCTTAAGAGCTGTTCTGCAAAATATTGGCTTGTTGTAGACCACCTGCCAATGTGCTGGAGTAATTACTGGGTGTGCACCGCCTCTTATTTAACCTGTAACTTCTTACCAAACCCACACATTCAGAGGTCCTCATCATATATGTATGTTTGAGGAGAGCACTAGCTACCACTCTGCGGCGCCTGAATCAAAACTTTTTGCCTGTCTTGCATATTTTTCCCCGATTGTATTTATAGTTAGCTTAGCTTGGCATGCATAATGCAATCTGCAGAGACCAAACTGTTTCATGAGCCATGGCCATTTTGTGGAGCATTTCAACCGAGAAAGTTGCAAACATTTTAATTTTTAAATTCCACTAATGGGATTCAGGACTTTAAAAGGGTGGTGATGGGCTCTGAAGGTGTGTGTCAGTGCCATTAGAAGTGGGCTTGAAACAACAGCATGATGAAAAAAGAAAGGGCTGACAATGGAGCCATTCTCTGCAGTGCTCGTGCAGGTATAGGTGTGCGTAAGTGTGCATATCTGCCTGTGCGTGTATGTCTCTCCTTTTTTTTTAAAGGAGAAAAACTAGGGAGTGGCTGCCCTAGATTATTATTTTATCAGAGCTAGCTACTGTAGCTGGCTACACTCTCCAAGAGGATTCCCCCCCCACGCACTTCCCGCTGTTACAGAACTCTGATGTGCTCTCTGCACTGGTGAGGTGACGACAATTCAGACAACTCTGTCTTTTCTTCTCTGTCCCTGTCCAAGGCTGTTTTACAGACCTCAAGGTGATGAGAAATCCTATACAAACATATGATGTCATCGCTGATTTAAATTTGAAATTAATTTTATTGTAGTCACAGGACAGACTCAGATCGTCACACATGCAAAAAGGAGAGTAGAATAAGAGACTAAAGACAATATGAATAACATTGCCACTGTGAGAATATGTTTTTCCCGATTGGCTTATCATAAAGCTACTGCTCACGGCCATCAACAGTTTTTCCGTTGTCAAAGTCACGTGTCTCCCTCAGAGCAGCTTACTGCCCATAAAGTTTAGACCATTCTTTACTCTATAGGGTCCAATCTGCACAGAACTGTGGTGCTGGAGCCATTACTGATCCAACTTTGGATAACAAGATACCGTGATAGAATAATAGTAACTAGTCTAAACTTAAGCCCTACCAATGACATTACAATTCATTTAGTTGACGCTTTTATCCAAAGTGACTTACAATGTATCACTCTGCAGATTTTCTCAGCTTATACTCTCCTATCACATTCTTATGGCTGGACTTATTCATATTTTTATACGAACAATAGATTCCTAAGCTCTTGAAGTGGAGAACCTTTGATAAAAGATGGATACCACTTTCATGTCAGCAGCAGTTTGGATTAGCTTAGCACAAGGACTGAAAACCAGGGGAAACACTGCTTTAAAGTTACTATTAGATTTTCTTTCAGTGAGATAATCTGCCCACTAGCATCTTTAAAGCTAATTAATAAACGCATTATATCATATTTGTTTCATCTGTACAAAAGTGTAGGCAACACAAATTGCTGTTTTACGTGGGATTATCTAATGGATCGTTTCTCATTTCTTGGCTCTAAGCAGTTGCCAGACAAGCAGCAGAAATCTGAGATGTGGAAGAGAGCAGTAGAAGTTTTCACTGGCAAATTGTATTATATTGCAACTGAAGCAGGCTAGCTCTTTTCCACTGTCCCCAGTCTTTGTGTTAAGCTCAGGAACCCAACTGCTTGCTGGAGTTTCAATCGTACAAACATGTGAGTGGTATTAAAAACTTCTCATCTATTTCTCAAGAGGAAAGTCTTCTTCAAAATGTCAAACTTGCCTGAGACATGTAGAAGAAATTCTCCTCAAATGTGTAATGTGTCGAGCATGTCTTTGGTTTGGATTCAGACAGAGACATGTTGTACTTGAAAGTTTTAATGGTCAACCTATAGGCCCCTCATGTGCCACTGTATTGATGATCCATGCATAATACAGTATAGCAGCCCATAGTGAATGTGTCGAAAAGGACTTAGCAGTATTGTATCCAAGTGTGTGAGCCAGATTGAGGAGTTGGATGAACACAGTAGAAGCAGATAAACATATTCTGGGTACGTACAGGTGTTGGGGGTTCCGTTGGGCGTTGGCAGGTAGGAACCAGCCTTCCAGGACTTGGCTTTGAAGCCCTTCCTGCAGCGCTGGCAGTCCTGGCCCGTGGTGTTGTGTTCACACTGGCACTGGAGGTTCCCGTCTTGCAGCAGGCACTGGGAGGCGTGGAGGTTACACTTACACCTTAAAACGGATGACAAAAGATAGGTTACACATGGTAGGTGTCATAAACGTGTGTGTTCCACATTTCCCACATAAAGATGCTGGATATAGGAGCAATTTTACACAAGAAAAAAAGCAAATAGATCTGCGAAGATTCTCTCTCATCCAGAAAGTGCTTTATGAAGGTTCTTGAGGTTTTTTAAAACGTTTCACCTCCTATGTGAAAGGCCTCAAACCCGATCGGTGGGAGTCAGAACAAATGCAAGTATTGACTTTCGAAGGTCTAACACTCAGACATGGCTCCTACATCTTGTGAGTAAATTGCATGATGGTAATAGATGTAAAACAAGATTAAGGTTATAGATTTTGTAATAACAAAAAGTGCATTGTATGTAGCTTATTTGTTCACTGAGCGGAAACTGTAAATTACACAACAAAGAAAAAGTAAACATGAGCAGTAGATTACTTTGTACCTGTGTGAGTGAACTTTATCTGCGTTTGTGTTGTTTTGCATTAATGTTATGGGTGAACAATGCAAGATATCACAGTTACAATGTTAAGTTTACGGTGTTGAGTGTCTGCTTTGGCTCCAATGTATTTCTCCCTGAAGTCACTGGCAAAGCTTCAGCATCCATTTCTACTTTGATGTGTGCAAGTTTGTTCAGTTGCCAGTCCATCTGATTCTGTGGCATTTGATGATGGAAGCTGTACAGTCTGGCTGAGTAAAGTAACAGCAATGAATCAAACAGTTTTTACAAAATGTGAAAAGAGACAACGATAGTGATTGACTAAATGTAGAGTTGAAGCTGTTGATTACTGGATCAACCTTTTGGCAGAAACTACATATGTTAAAAATCGATTCAAAAATTCTTTGTAATGTGATGTTTTCTGCTTTTCTTTATCATCTATGAAAGAAAAGTAAATATATTTGTGTTTTGGACTGTTGAGTTATTAGTTGCTTCTTTGTAATTATGCATTATCATTATATTTTCAGGGTTTTATGATCCTTACATAAGTACATTTAAATCTTTTCAGTTTTATATTTTATTTAATTTTCATTCATTTTAAATAAAGGACACGTACATTTTGCTATTTGTGTTCCCACTTTCTAAATAATTCTGGAGAGCACTCAGCAGGGTGTTTGCTAAAAACAGAAATAAACACACGCTCTAAATATATTCTGGGTCCATGATTCTTGGTAACGCATTTACTCGCTACCTACTCAATGCTACCACTCTAGTTTTCAATTACTGCCTGTGAAGATGAAGTGCCTTTAAGTGTGTGTTTACGTATTAGCTCGCTCGCATGCATAGACCTGTGCACACGAGGGCAGGGCCCAGGTGGGCTGATCCAAAGGTTGGAGTTCTGCCGGGAAGGAAATGAGGATCTTAAGGACACTCGGCAGCTACGACTTTAAATTACAGCCTTTTCCAGATGAGCGACTGGACTCCAATCCAGTTTGTTCCACTGGAGTGAACAGCTATCCGTCTGCATCAAATATTCAAAGAATGGCCCCTGTATTCTGGAGAGATGACTACTTCAATCTTCCTTCCTCACACTAATCTGCGCTTTCTCATCAGTTTTTCTTTTTTAAATTTTCTTTTGGTTTATGCTGTCAGCCTGTCACCGGCAACCCTGCTTTCACAGCATTACTTTACATACAGAATAACAATGACTGGAAGTAAGAAATACCGGTAATCTTCACAAGACAAAAATGGAGACGGTTGATCACGGTGTGTTGTGTGTGATATCACACTGTTGCTCTCAGTCCTATAAATTACCCACGTTTCTCTCTGATCACCCAGACGAGCTGACAGGATGTGCCAGGGAGAATGCATTCACCGGCAAGGCCTTGTTTCCTGCATGCTCTCTGAAGGACACGAGCTGTCCACTTAGCAAGGAGGGAAATTGAACATCTCTTTTTCATGGAGAAAAAACTGCTTGCGTTCGTGGGAGTGAGTGTGTGTGAAATGAGACAGGTGTGTGAGCCTGCGTGTTTTTCTGCTTCGGTGTGATTGTGATGCATTTCTCTGAGAGTGCCGATGACAGACAACAGATCAGAGAAGCAGAGGCACGGTGACTAATGCCTGCGCTGAGTGACTGACAGCGCTGAACATATCTCTGCTTCTCATCTCCTGCATCTTCAGTGATAAATCTCATCTGTCTCATCTTAAAAGTGGAAGCGCCGCTGAGTGCGGGATCTAGAAGTTGTAGTTTAAAATCAATACTGAAGAACAGAGTGATTGTCTAGGTATACTCCTGTGCAGTTTGCGTCTTGCAGGCCTAATGGCTGCAGCGTAGTAGAGGAAATGGCCTTCCTCAATTATCTGAGATACCTTGACGTTAAAGCCCGCATGACTAGATGCATTTGAGTTACCACGGTGAAATATCACTGAGCTAATACTGTATTAACTAACCCCTCTGCTACTTTAATCATTCATTTTGAGTTGCACCGTCTTGCAGGTCGAATCTTTGCGGACACTTTATCCTCTTGACCTGCTTTCCGACTCCTTCCACATTGGACAACCCACGAAAAGACCAAGACTACTTTCTGTCCTTGCACTCCTTCCACATGACTGATGTGACACTGACTTTTCTAGTGCTATGTCTCTTTTGCTCTCTCTCTTTCTGGTGACAGCTTGCACTGGGATTTTTCCCGATCCCCCTCCTCAGTCCCATCAGGCACAAATAATACATGGGCACAATCATATGTTAATGTGCAAGATGTCTGCATTCACTGCAGAGTCATCAAAGTGGGAGTAGCAGCTCTGAGCTGAAGGAAGTTAAGACGGGACAGCTGGATCCATCACAGCCCTGTCTGTTTACTTAGAGGGAGAGAGTGAGGGGGATGAAATGAGAGAAGGTGAGCAAAGAAGGGCGAGACAAAGAAGAGCGAGAGAGAGAGAGTCTCAGAAAAAGGAAGAAAATTAGGAAGACAAATACATTCCAGTCTGCATCAGAAACCACACACACAAGGTGTTGTTTCACTTAGCAGCTGTAATTATGGACCAATACTTGTGTTTATCAGACCGTTACCTTCAATGTTTTTTTATAAGTGGTTGCAAATTACATGGAACATGTTTCCGTGATGATTTCACAGTGATCCACTGATAGACAGGTGGCGATAATGTGCCAACACAGGCAGCTATGTGGCAAACACAGTGAGTTAAGACTGCTGGCTAATTAACAAGGACGTAAGCAATGTGTGTTTCAAAATAAAATAAAAAATGACTAATGAGGAAGGACATGCCTTGTCAAGAACAGAATCTGAAAAACACAGAATGCAAACATAACTCTATGTTTACAAGAAAACTCAACAGGGCACTTTTTAAAGATATAATCCTGACTACTGGTTACAGAACTGGCAACACCTGTGGTAACAGCAGGTGTGTTTTCATGATACAGGTGCCAGAGTTCTGCTGGAAGCGACATTGTATCACTGCTGTGGGCAGTAAACAACAATTTACAGCATGGCCACACAAACCACAGGCTTATTATTTTAATCACGGAGACTGTGGAATGAATTGCATGTCTTCCTCTGCGTAATAAGGATTCTACAGTAGATCGTGAACACGGGGAGAACATGCAAACTATGCACAGAAAAGCCCTGACCCAACTGGGATTCAAACCAAGAACCATCTTGCTGTGAGGCGATGGTTCTAACCCTTGCCCCTGCCATAATCTTTACTATCTCTGTCACTTATGATGAGTTCTACTTACTAATCATTTATTAATAGATTATTCCTGCTCAGATGTGAATCACCATCTAAATTGCAAAACATCAAGTGTTTATCACTTCTTCATTATGTCCATTTTAGTCTCCCCTCAAGTAAAGGACGGAAATACTTTTCAGAGGAAATAGTTTCTCCATTAATGATTTGGTTTAGCGTCAACAGTTTTCAATGAACTCATGCTTCATTTGCAAACTGCCAATGCAAAATAGTGTTCAAAACATTTAATGCAGTAGAGTAACACGTTCAGTTTTCTGGGCTTGAACAGAAACATGTTTTTAACTTTCACTCTGAACACCTTTTTATGACTTCTGAGTGAAACAAGAAGTTCTGTTTTTGTTTACAGAAAAGAGGTGGGCACTAAATGATCCAGTTTCCTCCAAAAGACAAGACAAATCCATCGGGTATAAAAAAAACATTTGTAGGTTCATGTAAGATCTTGTACAGTAACATCATCCATGTGTTAGCTACACATCTTTAAGCTCACACCATCTTTTGGATCTAATGACCTGTGGCAATTATCTATTCGGCAGATAAAATATCTGTTTCAGTGTCCAGGCTCGGCCGACTACGTGTCTCTGTCGGTCCGTTCTCCCTGCAGCCTGTCTCTGTGAAGTCATGTCGGCAGTGTGTCTTTAATGATAGCAGGATTGCCTGTTTTAGACACCAGAGATGCAGCAATTAGGGGAATAAATAAGAAGAAAGATAAACAAACATCAAGGGGGAGTCATGTGGTGGCAGAGCCTGAGAAAGCAGCTGGAAGCAGCAGTTAATGGGGCTTTATCTGTCTCTATACGGTAGTCGACGCCTATGCCTCTATTCCTCTCCGGGGACACAGCTATCACTCCCTCTCTCTTATTTTCTCTTTTGCACTCTCCACCCCCTATATTCTTTTTTGTTTGCTCCCAAATTCTATCTAGTGTAACCGTTCCAGTTCTCCAATCTTTGCTTTTGCTCTTCCTCTCTCCATCTCTCTGTCTTTCCCGTTGTGTTTATCGGTTCAGCTTTTACCCCTTTTACCTCTTTAGCTACTGCCCATTGCACCAGTGCTCACTGAGGAGTGCACTGGGTAAATTGGGTTGTGGACATGTGTTTGAGAGGAATGGGTGGAGGAGAAAATAGTGGGGCATGGAGCGTGTTGGGGGGGCTGAGCAGTCAGTGCAGCAGGGAGTAGGGCAGCTGTGTCAAAGCCCTGACAGTCTGGCTGCCTGGCTGACTACAGTGGAGAGGCTCGGAGGAGGAGCAGGAGGAGGGTCTGCGCTGACGTGCTCTAACCTGAGATGACAGACT